TTTATAGTTATAGTTTACCAATGTAAAACTTGCCAGTGGTTACAAAACCAGCCACAACTCAGCCCTAAGCAGAGTGAGCATCCTCTATTGACCAATCAACAGACTGCAGTGTTCACAGCTCCACCTTTTAGTACCAGATCTGTGTAGTGGGTACCATCCACAACTTTTCACAGTGGAAACCCAAAAAAGCGTACCAACTCTCCTCTCACATTTCACAGATATTGATAGATGAATCGAGAAAGTAATCAACCACATCATTGAGCAATGATGAAAATAATTGTTAGTTGCAGCCCTAGTGGGCACTCTTTCTGGATTATTGGTTTCAGTTACAAAAATTGGCGGACACACTCCCATTGTGAGGCAAACTGAGGGCTTTAAGGCAGCAGTATACCCTGTCAGAGCTGCTTGTTGGATGGTTCAACAGCTTTGGAACAGCCCTCCTCCTAAGAGTTTTCCAACATCAGAATTGTGAAGGCTGCTTCCAACGATTTCCGTAATTTTCCCCAAATCTACTATTTGACGTTCAGACCTACTTCATGCTGCCATTTGCCGGCAAAGCAAAGGTAACAGAAGAGCCATGGTTAAAGGCTCGATTCTCATTTCTTTCCTCCATTCATTCTCATTCACAACTATTTCTGTCACTTTTCGCATTTAAAACTGAGTCCAACTCTTAATGCTTTCCAGGAAAGACTGTCTGAAAATGTGTGCCACTATCCCCATAATTAAATGATTACTGCAACTCCCCTCCATCCATAACGGGTGGCCTCCAAGTGTGGTCATTCAGAAAACAAGCATAAACACATTTGCCTCCTGATGTGCTTAGACAACACGCAATACTTTTCTAGTCCTGATCACAGAGGCTCTCACAACTGACAGTGTGCTGACAGATTGAGTCAATCTGCACCCTGAGGAGAAACACTTGTTTACGAAGGGAAAGAAACGTGAAATTTCTGAATATAACAAATTATATCTCAAGTGCAAAATATCTTGAGAGCTACATTCTCAATAGAAAGGGGAATTCCAAATGTACAACATCATGTTGAGATGGATGGTGGGAAACACGGAGGCTGGGGTCTGGTTCAAAGAACTGAAACAGTCCCGTGGGTCAGATTTGGATTTGATATTAAACAGAAACATATTTGCTGTTCTAGATGGGAAACTTCAGAGTGGTGTTTGATTGGTCACTGCTTCCATCACCTTTTTTCACATATAAAATCAACTCTTTGACCGCTTCATTACTCACAGCTCATAACTGCTGAAACTGACTCCTTATTATCCTTTCATCAGCTTCTTTTATGTGCACAGATGGAGGTGTTTTACTGAAAAGTCAGATGCTGGTTGTACGTCACATCCAGACACTGAAGTTATTTTGCTCTGACTCAGGCTGTTTGTTTCATCAATACGAGCTGTTTCCTCAATTGACAGTTAACAGCCTGCACAGAGCACATGGATGGTGCCAAACTAAAATTAGACCGCCGTGTTCCAGCATCGCCGCCTTGGAGCAACGCTGCACAATACACAGAGGAGCTGGGCTGTGTCACACGCTTTTAATTGAGGCCGGACCAAATCTGATAAAAGCAAGACACAACAGGCCTTTTCATTACAACCGATAAAATAAGTTTCCATCTGAGAGCTATAAATATGATATCAAATGTCTGACAGAACCACTGGCCATCTGACATCTCGCACAGTCTGTAACAAACAGAAAAGCAAAACAAAACTCACATGCTACATGCTCACAAACACTTAAGGAGCGCACACATGGATTCAGCATCATGTGTGCACTTTCCTCTCCTTTCATCACCCCACATGTACGTGCTTGATGGAAGGAAAAATAAAGTAGGTCACTCAAAGTCAGTAGGTGAAGAGAGAGAAAGGAAAACAAGTAATTCATGAATTTTTATGGGGTATTACTTTGGCCCAGTAAAAGATCATTTAATGAAACATCTCTATTCTTTAACCTTTATGAAAACTGAATATAAAAATCCAACTGAAGGTGTTTATGTACATGAGGAAAAACAATAATCCATTTACGTGAATAGGAAGGCCTTTCCCCGAGGTAAAACTGAACATTTCACAATAAAGGCTTCACTTTGTGTTCTTTGTCACATATGCACAGTAGCCACACGGGACCAATATAAAGATTCGAGTAGGTCAAACTACACAGGAACAAAGCAACCTCACATATTTAACAACCTCTTCAACATTACACTGAAACGTATCTCTCTCTGTATTGTAGCAAGTCATAGCATCTTACAATAAACAAACTTATCACTGATAAATGGCGCTTACACACACTGTCAACATTGTTTTGGCTTGATTGAGCTTTCACAGGCTCCATTTTAATCACTTCTCATCTTCTGCAGTGGCTTAATGGTACCCACCATCAGAGAATTAGCATCACCAGATGTTTATCTTGTTCATCAACTCCTTATATTCACATAACAGCAGTGGTTGGAAACATGCACCACATCACATTTATTTTCTTTTGACAAATTATTGGCAATTTGTTTTAAATGTGCACTAAATTTGGTTGGAAACTTGGCTACTCTCACTGTTGATTAGCTGGTGACATCAACTAATCACCAATCTAGTTTCCACAGAGCTCTAGAGGAATTATATATAACAAAGGGGCAGAAAAAGGTTCAGCATCACCCTCAAAGACATGTTGACAGGATATTAGGCTGCCACAGGTACCTGCCTTTTGAACTCTCGCTGACACAGATCCTATCAGTAGGACCCCATGATGGTGAATCTTTCCTTCAGTTTGTATTTAGGGATACAACATCACAGTGCTGCTTTGTGTATCATACAGGGACATTTTATCCAGCCTTATGTAATGAAATTTTGGTCACATATTTGAATCCTTCAGGCATAAGTCAGTAGATATGGGCACACGAGTATTGCTTGAAGACAGAATTGGAAAAAAAAATCATTTAAAGGACTAATGTGTAGGATTTAGTGGCAACTAGCGGTAAGGGTTGTAGATTGCAACCACGTGAATCGGTATGTAGGAGAGCTATAGCGGCCAATGCAAAAAAGCAAATGGCAGTGTTTCACTTGTCCGTTCTGGGCTTTTGTAGAACAACGTGGCAGTCTCCATGGAAGATGTTCTGCTCTGTATATATATCAAAACAGCTCATTTTAGCGTAACGAATATACAACAGTTCTTAGTTTTAGGTGATTATATGCTAATGAAAACAAATTTCTGGACATTATATTCCATTTCTGCCAATATATCTCCCTAAATCCTACACACAGGACCTTCAAACCCAAATAATGAATATGATACTTCTGACAGCTTTTGAATTCATGTTATGAAAATTGACCTTTCGCTAAGCTCTGCCCCTTTGTGCTAGTCAAGCAAGCTGTTGCAGTAAGCATGGAGCCCACATTGTAACTAACTGCACTCCCTGAAGAAATATTATCATATTTTTGGAGAAATGAAACAGTGATTCCAGAGAGAAGCAGACAGAGGGGTCTACAGTCTGTGTTTGAAGGATATATCCAGGATGTCAAACTGACTCAACAGCAACAACAGGTTAAAAAGACAAAGATAGTTAGAAGCTAAAGCCGAACTATAGGTTCCAGATCACAGTGTAAAAGTGAACCACCACATCACTGCTTTTTATGTGTTGTCGGTGGACTGTAGGAACTGAATTGCCCTTCGGGGATAAATAAAGTTTTTCTGTATCTGTATCTGTATCTGATCGCCACACAAGACAATGAATATAAAGGGAAACTTTGCTGATATTCAACCAGCTGTGTGGCATCACAGTGTGTGCAGATGAACGGGGGACGGCAGGGATCTCCGGGGGGAAGCCAACTGCACACACTGTGATGACACACAGCTGGTTGAATATCAGCAAAGTTTCCCTGCTTCCCTTCACTGGTTCCTGTACAGCAGGGTCGGTCTTTTTTTCACTGTTATAATCATTAAAAAGCAAAAGCAGCATGTGTATACATTCAGTAGGCTATATCTTCAGTAGCTAGCTAGCTAACCCTACACTTTTCAGGGTTTGATTTTGGGTTTTGGAACAGGGAAGAAACGTATATCTTTTTCCAGCCTCTCCAGGTAACGAGTATCATTAATACACGATGTGCTCCAGGCACAACATTTAGCTCCAAATCCACTAAACCAGCCTGAAAATGAAGGAATCTGAAACGACTGCATTAGAGTCAATGGAGCACAGCTGGATTGGCCAGTCTGCATGCAGGGGCGGGACTTAGCAAAGCATCAATCAAGATTTGTTGGTTGCTTTCCACTAATATATGTAATCTGAATATTAATAATGAGTTTCTTAAAATTTGCCAAAGACAGGTCAACCATCACAGTTAACATATAGTCAAAAATTAATTTTAGTGCCATCATGCACCAAAACTTTAGATGCAGATTGAAATGTGTCTATTGTTGCCTTGTAATAATGTAACTTTGTTTTTTGTTTTTTTAAATACTGACAGACTGAATGACTGACACACAAACATAAAAGAATGCGGCGCATGCCTGCCTCAGTTATTTTGTGTCATAGAAGCACACCATGACAAATTTGTACTCATAAAGCTCAGCATCTTATCATAAGAGGTCGTGACCCCAACCCTCAATCTCTGCCAGGTCAAGGGTCAAACAAAACACAACATATTTTAACCTAGCTCCACGAAAACTCCATTTCTGTTTATTTTCTGTTTGCAGAAATCAAAAACAGAACAAATGTCCTAGTTTAAACCACTAAAATTTCAACATGAGTCATTTCACAAGAAACTGTTTTGGGCTTTGCCGTTATTTACCAGCATGCAAAGCCAAGAGCCCTCCTCCAGGAGGAACTCCCCCAAACCAGACACTCCCTCAGACTGCATGTGTTTGCAGTGTAGAGCAGCTCTAACTGAGGAAAGCCAAACCCGGAGACACTATCAGGTACATTTTTAGACCTCGATTATCAACTGCGGTATGCAAGTGAAAGTTTACAAGCACAAATCAAAAACACGTGAGAGGGAAAACTTACCGCGTGCACTGCTGAGGCGAGGATGGCAATGGAGAGGCACAGAAGCAGCAGCCTGTGTGTAGTCAGGGAAAATGACAGCGTTAATATGCTGTTTATCAATGAATCTTGTGGTTTGCGGTGAAGGGTTGCGCTCACCTCAGATCCTTCAGTCCTCTGTTGTGTTGTCCTTGCATGGTCCGACTCATGCGCACCGCAAACTTCAGTTCCACTCCGCTGTTTGACTTGTAGAGACACTTCTACAGCATGACTACCCCACCTGAAGCACACCGACACCCTTAAAGTTAACAATCACTGTCTGCACATCAGTCTATTCATCTGACCCACCTGGTTAGTGTCTAAAGTGATGCGCAACTTTATTATTTTATGTAATATGTTGCGAAGCTCTTCATAAGGTGCTCCGGATGAAGCCGCCCTCATGGCTCAGCTGCACTGATAAACTATTTGTCACATATATGTCATAAATATGCCCTCACTTTGATAAAAGACTTTACTTACAGTCACCCCAGGCTTGCGTGCGGCGGTAAGGTGAAGGAAGTGGATATCACGGGGCACTGGATGCGCGCGGATCCCCGGGCTGAAAAGTTTCAAAACAGACACCTGTAGCACCAAAACCTGCTCAAATATTCTCACAGAAAACACACCAAAGTGCCGAGTAGTCCCTCTCCTTACCGAGAAAAGTCAAAGTGTTTCTAACAGCAAGGTTGAGCCCGTTTGCATGGGCGAGGGTGGTCGTTTTGGGGAGGGGGGTGTGGTGCAGGAGAAACAAGACCAAGTTGCATTGATCAGAACCTCAGATCGTCTCGGACAAAGATGCGGCCAAACGTGCTGCCCGTGCTCTGCTGATAAGCTCAAGAGTTACCTGAAGGAAGAAGACAAGAAGCGGCCAACAGGTGGCTGTTTGCGGGCACTCTGCACTGTAGCGCACACCGTTTCCACTGCGCACCGCCACGATGCTGTTACCGTCCGGCGCCTTGTTACTGCTGGCGGCTCTCTACTCAAGTGTAGACCTGACGGGGGCTGAGGTAAGTGGATGAAGCATCTTAAACATTATGGGGAGCTTAAAAGTATACTTTGGCAAAAAAGTTTCACATTAACTTTATTTGATGAAGTAAATGCGCGCGACTTTAAGTGTGCAGCTGAGGATGAGTTAAGACTTTCTCCGTGTATTTAGGCATCTCACGCACACATGTAGTCTATGATCTGTGCGCAGTCAGCTGTTTTTCTGTGACAAATTCAGCCTGTTTAACAAATCATTAACTTTTCATGTGTGATCAGAGCTTTAGTCCTAAAAATAGACACATTTCAGTGATTCAGTGTCACCAAGACGCACGTTTTTTTTACTCCATATTTTTACTTTTAAATGTTTTATTGGTTTGTTTTTAGCACTGTAGTGTTTTTATTTCAACCACTTGTTGTGTGTTTGCCTCTGAGACAGTTCTGAATACTTGTGAGTTGAATCTACTCCCAGTCCAGCCTCCTCCACTTCTGCTGGAGAGGAGAAGAGAGAGAAAGGGAGAGGGAGAGGGAGAGGGTGGGGCAGAGTGCTTACAGTAGCTGCAGTGTGTGTGTGTGTGTGTGTGTGTGTGTGTGTGTGTGTGTTACAGAGAAGTATGGTGAGGTAATGAGTGAGACTGAGATGTGTATGAAGTTAATCATTGGTATGTTTAGATAATCCGATAAACTTTTCATGAAAGTGTCTCTTTAGAATAGAGACAAACTTTTTATGCTCTTGACGTTGCATGGATGTCTGACCACAGTCCAGAATATATATAACTGCCCCATTCATCAGATTATCCTGTGTCTGGTGATATAGGCCCCTATGATGCAAAGCTGTGCATTAAAAATGAAATATATGAGATAATAACCAAAAAAAAATCACAGTAAAAGCTGGCCCTAATATTCTAGATAAACTGATTGACCTCCATGTCTTCTCTTAATTTACAAAGGAACTTCACCATAAACCTTTTCAAATATGTCCATTTGTAACTGGTGCTAGGTCATGTAAAAAATCATATATCATGATATTTCAACCAAATACCTCAATATCAATAATGTGACGTAATGTTGCTGCAGTATACCATGAAACCCTGTACCATGGTATGAAAATTGATTATCATACTATGTTCATTTGCTCATGCATGGTCTCATCTGCACATGCACCTCTCTGTTCCTCCTCGACTGCTTGTCAGACTTATTACACACACTTCTATTAAAAGATTGTTTCAAGTTTAAACCAAAAACCTTCTATTTTCATTCCTTTAAGGGTTACAATGGTAACTGATAATTATATTTGTGTAATACTGCATACTGTGATATTTTCTGAGATAGTTATTGTACCGTGGAAATCTCATACCTTTGCATCCCTATTGCGACAGTATTTTAGGGTTGACTATTGGTGCTTTTACAAAATATTTACACAATAAGAGTTTTGACAAATAATCATCAGTTACCCACCTCAGTGTAGTATCACAATATTTTCATCACACGGACACCAAGTATTGATTTTCTATTATAAAAATTATCAAATACAAATTCAACTTTTGGTCGCCTACCAGAATAATATAATCAGTTGCAGTATAGTTTATCGCAATACCCCGCAATAGGTGTTAAATCGCGATAATATTGTATCGTGATAATATCATATCGTGGGGCCTTTGGTGATTCCCACCCCTATTATGGATCCACTAAAGAAAAGCTGGTGCTTCAGTGCTCCCCTGAGAACAGCAAGAGTTTGAAGGTTTGTTATGTTCATGTATGTTGGTCCTCATTGGGTCACTGCTTGAAATGTATATAACCACAGCCACCCTCTGTTGAGAGGCTTGACAGATGTAGTGCTGTATTTTGAAGCGTGGGTGGAGTTTGCAGCGGAAACATCTCTCACACAAGAAAGGCAGAAATCCAGGTGAGGGGGAGGAAAACATTGTATCGTGTGTAAAGATGAGGATGAACAGGCTGTTAATCTGTTAGTGTTATTGCACAATGGAGCAATGTGTGATGTTTCAGAGAAAATTGACACCTCTCATGGGAGCCTGGTATTATCATGTGGGGAGTTTCTTCATCATCCGGGGTGTTTTAAGGATATATTTGCAGCTGTGATGGATTGTAGCTGTGAGCTGTCATCATAAAGTGCCAAAAAAATCAGTTTGGGTGAAAGCATTCACAAGACTGGTTACAATCATCCATTTCCAGCTTGGGTTGGCCCCAAACTAAGCAGACGTCAAACTAGCTTTGACGTCAAAATCATTAGTCACTTTATTATTTACAATAACAAGCATTTCTCCATGCAGACGCAGCTTTGATTCAGGGAGCTATGTAGGATAGAAGTGTATCATGTTGAGAGCCAACGTATCAGATTAAACAAAGCAGCAGAGGGAACTTTATCCACTTCCTTTCTGGTTTTAGACGCACAAACACAAGACAGACATAGGACATCTGGACAGAGGAGAGGATGGGTGAGGAGGTGTATATCTGGCTGAACATCTTGTCACTGATCCGATGAAACCAATGAAATCAGAGTATAATGCAACATTCTGGATTTATTGTTGGGAGTTGTATATTTTTCCCATCTACCCATGGGAGGTCCAACGCAGGAAGTTTGTGATCCTGTCATCCATCCAAAGCTGCACAGTAAACAGAGAGGGGCTTTCCTCATCAGTTATATCCAGAACAATGACACAGATACTTGGCTGAAAATGCAGCCGTATTTATTTCTTCCCCTAAAGGTCCAGTGTGTAGGATTTAGGGAGATATAATGGCAGAAATGGAATATGATACGTGTGTTTTGTTTAGTTTATAATCACCTGAAATTAAGAATCTGTTTCCGTTACCTTAGAATGAGCTGTTTATATCCACCTAGGGAGCAGGTCCTCATCCACAGAGATTGCCATGTTGCGTCAGCGTGTTTTGACAGTAGCCCAGAACGGACAAACCAAACAGTGGCTCTAGATAGGGCTATTCACATTTTTGCATCAGCCACTGTAGTTAGCAGCCCCTCCATGATGAGCAGTGTTGCACAAATACAAATTCTTTTGATGTTTTTACAGTACATTCTCACTCTGACCTTGTCACATACCAACGTTTGGTCATGGACTTTCCACATTCACATATGACTTGCAAGGTACCCTGGGTGCGTTGGTTGTTAGTATTCTGGGACGCCATACAGTGTCTTTAAAAGTAAATGCACTATGCCGATACAACACTGCAAATCGACTTTTCTTCTCCTTCAACAACAAACATACGTGTTGAGTTTAGGAAAAAAGATCAGGGTTTGGCTTTAGATTCTTAAGGGATGCGAACACCACTCTCTCGGGTGAAAGTTGGTGTTTGTTGGACCCATTCACCACCCCTCCTGCCTGCCCCGGTTGGACTTTCGCCACTTTAACTTTTGTTGGGCGCCATTTAACTATAACGGCAACTGGCCACATATCATGCCGACGTTAATCGATGCCTTTTGTTGTTGATTTCCGATGCCGCAAGTCACTGCCCAAGCGTCGGATTTCAACGATTCGGAGTGAGACCAGGCTCGTTTTTACCAGTACGGGGCCCATTTTTTTAGGAGAGGAAGAGACCTCTGCAAATAATTCAGCTCCAGGTAAAAACCTCCTTAACATCTGGACCATAAGTTATCAGAAAAAGAAAATGGTGCACACATCAGCAGGTGCTGGCCTGGTGCCCATCTCTGATGAGCCAAACAGCGGAGGAGAAAAACTGATTTGTAACATGAAACTTTGTTCAGTGTTTTTACCAGATTTAATCATCTGGTCCGTTCATTTTGGAGACGAAGAGATCTCTGCGGATAATTCAGCTCCCACCAAAAGCCGACTGGACAACAAACACTGAAGGAATTCCGGGAGAAAATTCAACTAGTTGCAGTCTGCAATCCTCACTGCTATATGCCACTTAATCCCAAGAGTCTTACACACTGGACCTTTAATGTCCTCTTGCTTTTGTATCCTGCACCTTCATACAGTAAATGCGAATCCTGTAAGAGATATCAGTGTTTGTCCGATGTCCACAGGGCACCTCAGTGTGTTTATCTTTTCTATGTCTCCAAATATACAAGGACATGGCGCTAACTGAGTATCAGAATGTTCTGTTTGGGCTCCTTCACAATCAGTGCTTCTAAACTAAGGCCAGGAGTGAATATACAGCATAAGCAATTCATGGTCAACCACTGATGCATGCAAGCACACACAGACGTGATAACCCTGAGCCTGGCATGGGTCAGGCTGACTTCAGATAGGTGATAATGAAAAGATGAAGTAAGATTGCTTCTACCCTTTGTGCTCTGTTAAAGGATAAACCAAACAGATAATATTTAGATGTATGAAGACCTTTGCTCCCAATATTTCCACTGTAGCATCTGATCCTGAGTATATTTCCCCATTGTTTAAACAGAATAGAGTTTCTCTCCCTTGGCGGTCATTTAATCTGGTCAGAATGAGTCATTAGTAATTCCTAGAGGAAGAGGAGGGGGAGGAGGAGGTAAGGCAGATTAGCAGATTCCTGGAGAGAGAGTTTGTGCGTGGGATGTTGGATGGAAGCATTGGGAAAGATGGTAGCTGGTAGGAAACACGAGCCTCTCTGTGCTGCCGACTTGGCCATGATGCCCCGGGACAGAGCGAACCCCCCAGGGAGGATGAACACAACTCCAATACAGAAGAAGCGTCAGTGAGAGCTGTTAATCCCCATACAGCCTG